CAAGCTGCAGCATTCCCTGCCTGTACATTCCTTTCATACTTCCCTTAAAAGTCTGCCACACAAAAACAGTGAGCATGTGAAGCCTTTGACACAAAAAATACACAAATGGTAGGATTTGTTTTGGCCAATATTAGTCCCCTACAATTAAGTCTGGTTCTACAGGCACACTGTCATCCTCCAGTGAAGGAAATGCCGCCCTGGATAAACAGCTGCCATCCCACATTTGGACAGGATCATTTCCTCCCTACTTCTAAGATCAAGTACAACAAATAGCAGAACTAGCTGGAAGTCTGGAAGCAGGGAATTAACATACATCGTTCAATATTGTAATAAGCAAAACCAAAAAACTGAAGTTGTACAACTACTAGAAATAAACAGAAATGCCTGGAAATTGAAGTAATATTTCTTTTACACTTTAAAAAAATATAAAGAGGGAAGACATCTAAAATGACATTTTAAATATACTTTTAGAACTTAGTGGAACTGATTAAATGGTTCCATTGTTCTAATAATGATTTTTTGCTTCAGTGTTAGTTACAAGAATAACAACACATTATTATCTTATAATGCCCTGCTATGGAGTAATTATTCCAAAGCATTTATCTGACACAGCAATGTCAGGTCATACTGGATGTTGTGAGCTGATGGTTCTTCTACTTCTAAACATGTTTTATTTCTGTTATTCAGTACAAATGACACTTCTGCCTTAGGAGATGCAGTGCATCCACAATTAAGTTAAAAATAAAACAAAACAAAAGACACACGTTCCTACACCCAAAGGAATCATCCTACATCACAGTGATTCACGATGCCTCTTATATCAACTAACATTAGATCTCTTCTTAGGAAAAGAAACAAACAGTACTCAGTCTCCAACTTTTTTCTTCCAAACCATTATTTGAGATTTATTCCTCCTTTACTTTCCCTGACAGCATTCTTGGGATGACCTGATGAAGAAACCACGTTAAAGCATGAAGACATGCATTTAATTCTCTCTGCAAAGATAAATTACAGAGAGGGGTTTACATAGCTCAAGGCTAAAAAAAAGAACAACACAAAAGAAACAAAAATAAAAGCAAAGAACAGCTGTCCTTAAACTTTGGCTGCACCACCCCACCGCAAATACTTCTGCAAGCTGTGCAACAAGAACTTTGCTGTCCTGCTGTCAATTTAAAATATTTTCCCTTTACTGACATTTACAAAACCCCTCAAAAATCACAAAAATTGAATTACAGAAGTACTGGTTAACTACTTTAAAACTTCTCATGAGTGCTCGGCTGTCATCATTTGTTTCTGTTATTTTCCAAGTGCTGTGGAAGAACACTGAAGCAGAAATCCATTTTAAAGCAAAATGCAAACGCAGCCTCTGCAGAAAGGCAGTAAGAGTCAGTCAGACATACCAGCCTTACTAATAACCTTTAGCAGTAACATCTTGTGGTAAAACTGCATCACTGACAAATTTAGAATCCAGAATCAGAGCTTAGAAAAGAAGAACAAAAAGACTGCCAAGTGTTTTGTCCTGTCCTGTGACACAGAAAACTGTTATATACATGAGGAACAATCCAAACATTAAAAAGTGATCCAGGTGGAAGAACTGGCATTTTTCAAGATGGAACAGAAACACAACAGAAGTTCTACAAAGCCCTTAAAAAGGCAAAAAAGAAAATCTGTACAGCTCAAAGGCCCAACTACTCTGTACATGGGATAAGGGTATAGCTGACACAACAGAAATAAAGACAGTTTTGCTTTCTTCGAGGCTTTTCCCAAGACCACCCTGCTCTGCCTGCTGCTGGCTTGCTAATGGCATTTGCAAGGCATGGGCTTTCATGGAATTTCACACAAAGACCCCTGGGCTTCATCGCTGCTCCTTAAATAAACAAACCAGGTAGGCACTGCGCTGGACAAAAACATTCCCAGTGTACTCCAAACTTCCCCCTGTATTTTTCGGATCTCAGCTCTGCAAACAAACGGAGTTGGTGTGACAAGTCAGGGCAGACTGTGGGCCCCGCCGTGCCCTCGCTCCCAGCTACCTGCGCTCCCTGGCTCAGGCTGCTGCCAGGCACCCACTGCTCACTGCTAGGCTTCAAACATGCTGGCTCATTCTATCTGCCCGACGCAATAGCCACAGAATACCAAGACACAGCTACCTTAACCCCCCGTGCTACGCCACCCCCAAGTCCAAGTTTCTCTAGGAGTAGTTGGGGGAAAGGGAGGAGGAATCTCATTAAGAAAAACATCTCAGATCTGCATTCATTTGCTTTTCAGGGCTGTATTATCTTTGACATCTCAGAGGATACTCAGCACATTGGTCCATCTCACTTTCTTCTTAATGTCTCCTAAAAGCCTCTTAAAAACCCAACAAGCAACTATCCTGAGAATGCTGCAGGACTCCTCATGCTCTGAGCTCCTGTAACAGCCAAACCGCCCATTAGAGCCCAGCTTCCTCCTACCCACTTTGTTGTTTTTTTCCCTCCAGGATAGGGTAACATACTGAACTTGCCAAGCAAGCAGGAAAAGCTACAAACACTCAACTCTGCAGTAAAAACACAAAGCAAACAAACCAGAAGGCCAGTGACGGGCTCCCTCCTTCCTCCTGTTTCTGTACGGTACAAAGCAGCTCCTCTCCCTTCCTCTCCTGCCATGCGAGCACGTCTAGCAGTCTGCTGGTGTGGGAAACAAGAAAACAAGCCATGCTCTCTTCCAGGTCTCCCACCTAGTATTTCAGAAACTCAAGCTTCTTAAACAGATCAACCACAATGAGGAAGGGTAAAAATTGGTAATAAAAAAATATACAAGTGTGAATTCAATGTGTTTGTCAAAAACATTTTTGTGCATGTGAGCTACAAACACGCTGCAATTTCACTACACCGAGGACAGCTTTACAGTTCAGACACTCAGTGGTACTGTATTTATTTCTTCAAAACACAGTAATTTTGGAAAGGGCCCCAAAAGGAACTGGAAGCTCACAGAACCGACAGCACTGTTTCATAACAGCTCGCAAAAAGAATTCAGTCTATTTTTAGATACAGGAAAAGAATGTGGTTACTCTAAAAAAATCTCAGATAACACATTAAATTGGGTTTTATTACTTATAACTGACCATACAAATTGTGCAGCTGATGTGCCAAATCCCTCTCCAGGTGAACTTTACCACATAATTAAATCCTCAAAAGAGAGAAGTCTGTGTGTATACAGAGCATTCACATTTGAATCTTTATTGCAAAACTATTCATCGTGCTGTTATGAAATCTTACTTTTTAATGAATGGTATCTAAATTAATCTCAGACATGCATCCATTTCTAATTATGTGCAATAATCCTTTACGGGGACCAATTCATCTAGACTGCCAGCAGTTCAACCAAGAGCACGTTTCGCTCAGAATGAGACCCATCCGTTTTAGGGAGCTGCTTAAAATTCCCATTTCTAAATACATTAATGTGTAATCGTATGCTGAAATCCCCCTTAGCAATGCCAACTCCATAGTAAAAACCTTTCCAAAAATCAAGTTCACACCTGTTTCCTTTACTGTTTTCAGCCCATCATCCTCTCTGTTATCACCACCATTTTATTAGCTTTGCATTTAAAAACTGTAGGCATCACAGTCAGAGAGAAGCAAACAGATAAACACTAATATTCTCTTTCCTTTCTGATTCATCATTTTGAATAACCAAACAAAATACATCTCAAAGCTGTTCTTACATCTCTCCATTTTGGAAAGGTGACTTAACAACCCACTCCCCCCACCATTTTCTGGATTTCTCATTGCTGGTATTTTGTTATACCACAGCTACTGAAAGGCAATTCTGTTTGCTTCTACGTGCCTTAGCAGAAATACACTTATAAACCAAAGCACAATGCTCATTTTGACCTTCTTCAATCATGCATGCCACACAGTCCTTGCTCATTTTGAAAGGTTTATCTTTTACTGTGCTTCCTTCAGATAGCATTCAGTACAAGATTGTGTCTTTATATGATGAAACATTCAATAAAATATGCTTTATGTAATAATTTCAGCTAACCATGCAGTTTGAGTACATAAAATTAATAACCTTTTTTTTTTTAATGTCAAAGCCCAATATCAAAATGGCAAAATATAGCATCTGGATGGTCCTCTGCACACAGCTGAAATGACTGCTGTAAATAACTTGATGAAAATATTATTCTGTTCCAGGTTTAAGCAATTCTTACAATCAAAATTTACCTTGAAATCCAGTCACAAGCAAAACAGACTGGATAATTTAAAACCAACAAAATAATCACAAGGAGGTTATTTTGTGTCAGAAAACTTAAAGTGCATTCAGTGCCTCCAAATATTTCTTTAAAATGGAACAGCTACTTAAAATCATAATCATCTGATTGACAGACAAAATAATTGCTTTAAAAACACTTCTGAGTCATTTTGTCCTTACCTGCAGGCATGAACCATTACTGCATGCAGTGACTGCTCCATTTCCTAGCACAGACTTGAACAAGGATCACATCTATCTCACAGAATGTGACTAATTTGGGAATTTGTGATTCCTGAGCTACTTTGCAAAGGGCACTCCCTTTCCCCATAACAGGACATGAAATGCTTCATCAAGTTACGTTTTCTGTTAATCTGAATTCAAAAGAACCCTCTGTAACTGGAGAATGATCTCCTGTAACACAACACAAACACTAAATCTTTAAAATGAATTTAGAAATCACAACGCCGTTTGCACAGAAGTGAAAAGGAAGGAGGTCTGCAACCCCAGCACACAAACAGCAGCCTTGCTTGCTGTATTGCCATTTGCATGCTGCAGCCGAGTAGACTTCATTAAAAAAAGCCATCAATAAATCTTTGCAAAAATGCACAAAGCTTAACCAAAACCAGAGGCTCAATTAACACATTACAATCACCAGCATGCAATGCAGAAACGGCACGAGCAAACTTAACATGGGAAAGAAAAAAAAAAGCCCTGTGCTGCTGCTTGCAATGCTACACCATTAATTGTTCATGCAAAAGATGTGGCTGTACCTTTCTGAAGAGGACGACTTCTCAGAGTTAACTGACATCAGCAGCTCAATCTTCTGCTTGATTTCTGGAAAAATCAGAAAATATTCACAGCCGAGATTGCCTGCCCTGGCTTTCCAAAGTCTTACAACCAAAGGAGTTTTTTCCTAATCCCTTTTGTTTCAAACGAGGCCACAAGATTCGCAGCACTTCTGTGAAGACCGATTCAATCAGGCTGGGAAGGAACGAGCTCCGGGGGCATCAGGCCCTGCCGAACTCTGCACATGACTGTTTATGAAAGCAGGAGGAACCATTTCTTTAGGCAGAGGGGTGTTGCCTTTCTTCAGGCAGAGCTGACACATGCACGAGGTGATTCTTATCGCAACGCTTACTAATTGTGGCACAAATTCCAATTTCTGGGGAAAAAAAGAGGACTTGATGATTCATGGCACATAGTATTTCTCCCCTTAATTGCCTAAATGCGGATCAACACCCTCAGAAACATCCATTTCAAAAGCCCTGAAAAATATGGCTCTTTGAATCATTTTTGTCACAAAGAATGAAGTATTAAATCAGTACTTTAATACATGGGGTAGAAATCATAAAGGGAAAATGCTCCACACATTGCAATTTCTTTTTTTAGTGCTCTATGTTAAATTTTCTTCAAATCACTTTCAGAACTAGTAGTTAAATTTCCTCCTTTTTTTTTTCTGTTTTTTTTTTTTTTGTTTTGTTTTGTTTTTTTTATAATCTATTTATTACCACTGTAGCACTAACAACAAAAGAGTAGAAACGTCCACTACAGAACCTGGTGTATGCTATTGCCATAAAAGAGCCGCCCAGTGCCTCTCCAGCACCACAGCATACACAGCAGCTCAGCTCTGGCTATGGGGAAGGCAATCCTGTGCCATCTGTGGCTTCTTCCATGGGATCTTCCAGAAACAACGTACAGAGACAGCTGAAAAATGAATTATGATGAGCAGTATGGTAAAGACGCTTGTGACTAAAACAACCTCAAGGAATAATGCCATGAATGTGAGCATCATTTTAAGACCCTAGAAGAGTTAGAAATAGTGCTCTCACCTATCCTGGGCAACATTAAGACCAAGTTCGGTTGCTCACACTTTAAGTAAATTTCTATTATTTGGGATGGGAATTCTAGGATGGGAAGGCTTCAACATGGCTTTTTTTTTTCTTTCTTTCTTTAAAAATGTTACAGACACAACAAAGTCTCTGAATTCTCTGGAAACAAAAAAGAGAAACTGGATGTACTTTTCTTAAATAGACATTAAAAAAATTTGTAATGCTGGTTAGGTTCAGCATTCACATGCCCTGCTGGCAGGGCAGCAATGATCAGCACCTGGTCTAAGTGCACACCGCTGCTTCTCCCCAAAACACACAGACTGGAGAGGCCTCCACAAATGACCTCAGTTCTCTTGTCATATAATGGTTTGGGTTGGAAAGGACCTCAAAGCCCCCCAGCCCCACCCCCTGCCGTGGGCTGGCTGCCCCCCGCCAGCTCAGCTGCCCATGGCCCCATCCAACCCGGCCCTGAGCACCTCCAGGGACGGGGCACCCACAGCTCTGTGGGCAGCTGTACCAGGGCCTCACTGCCCTCTCAGTGAAAAATATCTCCTTGATACCTAATCTAAATCTCACCTATTTTAGCTCAGGCCTGTTCCCCCTTGTCCTATCAAGTACGGTAAGGCCACAGTGAGGTCCTCCTGGAGCCTTCTGCTCTCCAGAGTGAACAAGCCCTGCTCCCTCAACCTGTCTTCACAGGAGAGGTGCTGCAGCCCTCTGAGCATTTTTGTGGCCCTCCTCTGGACCCACTCCAACAGCTCTGCATCTGTCTGGAGCAGGAGCTGGCCGGATCCACCTCCAGGCCCCAGCACCTGAAGCCCAGAGCAGCTCCTATTTAGGCCACATGCGTATTTTTATTTTAATACGAATTATTGGCCACCCCAATAACTCTTACGCATCACTAAGAACTACGCTGTAATAAATTAAGACTCCACAGAAATCTTTAACACTTCCTAATTTCTAGCTATATACAATTATACCAGTATTTTAAAACTGATTTTTAGTGCAAATTATGCCACTGCTATTCACCATACAAATTATACAATGCACTGGATACTCTGATAATTATTTCAAAAATTGTTCTAAAGAAACAAAGGAAGGCAGACTTCATAATCTTAGGGTTACTGTAAAGGAGTGTTTTACAGCATCTTTGTGTTTAAACTGCAGTGCAAAAGATGAAATAGATCACACAGTTGTGGTAGGGTGTGAGCAAAAACATTTATTGCAGGGCTCAAATTCACTGCCAAATATTTACGTGCACTAAAATTCAAAGTGTACTGTAAATGAACAGCTACTCCACCAAGTTTCAGCCTGAATATTGAGAGACCACCTTTCAGACTAAAGCTGAAAAGATACTTGAGGCAAAAAACAGCTCTGAGAAATCTCTATTGTCTACCTTGTATTGCCCAGGTTAAAACGAAGTCTACACCACTGTATTTTCCCCCAGCACCCACTGTGACCCTACGCACATAGCATTCTTGTGAAAGCCGTGGTGCAGAACTCACTGTGCTACCTACCAGACCTGAGGCCAGCCCCAGCTAGGGCACAGCACCATGACCTCTGTGACTGAAAGAGAATGCCTGTGAGTTCTCAAGTATCTGCCAAAACTACTGACAGGCATTTCTAACATGCACTGCTATAAAACACATACATGCAGAGACTCATACCTGCTCCACAAAAGGCAGGTGGCCCTCCCTCCTACATGTCTCCTCTACTCTGAGCATCCCACTGGCCAGAAATCCTTATTCTTGAACACAACCAAGTGCACAGCAAGAGCCCACCTGCATTCAGAGCATGAATTTTGCTTCCCTTCAACACAAGGCATATCAAGGTTTGGAGATCTGTACTGTATTTCACTATGACCTGATCCACACAGCTGGTAACTTCAGCTTCACACGGCCTCTTTTCTTGAGGACCAGCACAGTCACCATTCCCAATTGATTCTCCTTCTGTTCTGACCCAATAGTGTTCAACAAGAACAGGATGCCTCATTACACATTTTGTAAGAGACTGGTGTTGTCAGCACTGGAAGCTAACAGCTACTTCTGTGGGAAAGAGAAGATGAAAGGTTTGGACAGCTTTGTTGGAGAAAGCTCACAGCTTTGGGATGTCGTGTTTTCTTATTTTCCAGTATGAATGGAACTGCTGAGGGCTTGAGGGAAGCTCTGTCAGCTTCTTAATGCCTTTCTGGACAGAGATGAAGCTGACAACACAGAGGTGTGAGCTGAAGCTCACTTTGCTTACCACTGATCTTAGACTAAGAACATACCTCAAGAATCCAACATGACTTTGTATTGCTTCTGAATTTGTTTAACCCTCGTAAAAATCAAAACCACTGATATAAAGAGATAGTATGAAGACTGGGACTATGGCAAAACAAAATTCAAAGAGCTTGGACTAAAATGATCAGCAGATTCATTACATAAGCAAGCCTCCACATTATCTTCACATAGAACGTATTATTACATTAATGTCTTACTGCTACCAACACTCTAAAAGATATTAAGAAAAAAAATCCAAGATGCAAGCTCCTTTGCTGCCAACTTGAAGTCCCTGGATGCTCTAAGAGTTAAAAAACATTTTTCTGCACCATTGTTTTAATTTACCTTTTATTCAGTGATAACTAAGATTTATTTCACACAATGATAAGAATTTAAATCAGATGAGACTTCACAGTAAGAATAATTTCTAGTATTACTAATGAGGGGTCCCATTCACTTGTTAACATTTCCATTACAACATTATTTAAATTTAGTGATTTTTTTTTTCCTTCTCCATCTCTGCCCATCTCTCATGAAGTCGAGATGGGATTTGCGCCATTTTACGTCTCTGCTATTTGAGATTTTTGCAAGAGAGCCATTTCCCCCATGTCTAAAAGCAAATCTGTACCTTTGCACAAGCATACCACACCCCTGAGGAGATGCTGACACACAACTATCACTCCAGATACAAAACTGATCACAGAGATGATATCACCAGATAAGACAGATGGAAGTCTATTTGAGTTTTATTTCCAACAAAGTGCCTTCTAAACTATGGGAAAAAGACAGCTGCAGAAATAGCAATGTGATCATTTCTGTATTTTGATTATTTCTAAATTACATATCCAGAAATCTGAGCTCTCTTACAGAATTTATTAGAACACACAAATTGCAGCACAAGTCCAAATAAAAAAAATCCCTTTAAAAAAAAAAAAAAAAAGGTGGTCTCTATCACCTAGTCAGCCAGCCTTCACAGCCAGAAGAATGTGAACTATAGAGATGTTTGGTAAATTTCAAGCTAACTTCAATAAAAAAGAGTCCTACAGCTGAGCTCTTCCTTCAAGGCTCTTGCCTCCAGCCCTTCCAACTTCATGTAGAGCCAACACTCCAACTTTTGTTTAATTCCATCTGCTGTGGCACCAGAGGCAAACACTGGCCTATTCAGGAACCACATCAAGAAGAACAGACCATAATAGTGTGGCTTAAAAACAAAAAACAAAACAAAATAAAAAGATGAAAAATTAGTGAAAATTTGTGCCAGCAAATCCAAAAGCAGCAGATAACAGAAAGAAGCCACAAAATACCAGTTCAGGGAGGGAAACCAGCAGCATTGCAGCTAACTCCTCAGTTGCTCCATACACTTTATCAGCTCACTCTGACTAATTTTACACTGTATAGAGATCAGGTATCAGACAACTGGCTCACATCCAAGCCCTGAGCAAAGCAGATGCACTAAGTCTCTAAAGCCATACTACACAAACTTCAATTGAATGAAAACAAAAACGCTCTGCAATGCCCCAAATGGTTGCATAATCATCTCGTTTTATCAACTTCTTATATTTATTAATCAAAGCAAAGCTATGTACAACCTTTTTTTTTTTTATCTCCTCCAAGAAGCTCAGGTGGAGGTCATGCATTAGACCAACAAAAAGCATCAGCTAATGCTAAAATGGGGAGGGATTTCCTTTTTGAGAGCAATCAGCTTTCTGTCAGAAGAGGAAAGACAAGAAGCTTGAAGGGGTGGGCTCTACAAAGAAGTGCTGCCAGAATTTTTAAACTCAGGAGGGATTTCTAGGAAAGCATCACGCCAAAGACTGCAAGCATGAAACCTAAACAAAGTTTGCACAAGGAATCTAGAACAACGTCAGAAAGAATCATGGAAGAAATCTTCCCAACAAGCTAAAGAAATGAAGCTATTTATTTCTATAATGTGCA